GCAGTTCAAACTGGACCAGCCTTTTCATTGTTTCTATCCTGATACATCGGAATACCCACAAATAGAAATGATTCAAATCTGATTGTTTTTAGGGGTGTAAAAACTTACACAGAGGGGTGTGTATAGTCTGATGCAGGTCCTGGTGTGAGGAAGTTCTGGGGTTTCTAGGAGCATTGTTTGGAGATGGATGCAGTACGTGCAGGTAAAGAGACAAGGCTGTCAACTTGTATTGATTGATCATTGGCTTGTAGTCCCCATCCCCAATACGATCAATCTCCAGTCTCTGGTAACATCTATTCCACTCCTAATTTCTTTTCTTTTTTTTTTTTGTTTGTTTTTTGTTTTGTTTTGCTTTTTCGAGACAGGGTTTCTCTGTATAGCCCTGGCTGTCCTGGAACTCACTCTGTAGAGGCAGGCTCAGAAATCCGCCTGCCTCTGCCTCCCAAGTGCTGGGATTAAAGGCGTGCGCCACCACCGCCCAGCCACACTCCTAATTTCTATGTGATTGACCATTTTAGGTTCCAAGTATGAGTGAGATCTAGTGAGGTCACACCTGCTGCTAAAATTTCTTCCCTAAAAGAGACATAAATAACATCTTCTCCTCCTCCTCTAGCAAACCAACAAATGGAGGAACTGGTCCATGGGAGTTTATTCTGGGGAATCAACGAGTTTATTAGGCGTGCTTACAGAACATTGGGTGAGAGGTTACAGGCAGGAGTGTGGGTGGCCTTAAAACATCCTAGTTAAAAATCTACAGCAGAAAAGTCTGAATCTAGCAGGGATGCTGACTCTCGAACGGATGCATAGACAGAGCCCTCTTCTTCATCTTTCCTAGCCTGTCCTAGTACTTCTGCACCTCTCTGAGGCCGAAGACTGGTTTCTTGAATTCTATGGGTGTTGAGTTTCTTGACACCCATGGCTCTGGTTTTAAGATGGAGGATTTCCTTTAAGTTTTATGTGCCAAGCCTGTCCTTGAGTTCTTGATCCCCGCTGCATTTTCCATGGTCTGGGATTACAGATAGGAAGCACCACAGCTGTAAAAATAGGGGTTCTTAAAGCATTTATGGCAGGAAATTGTGCCATCATTCACCCAGAATCTTGGGTTAGAAACCTGGGGTTTTTTAATGACAGGTGATACTGTACCATTTAATGTATATGACATGAGCTTTTGACTTATTTGTTCTATATATATTAAACATATGCTCTTCTTCACAATAGTTTTTAAAGCTGTAAAAAATTATATGTAGACATGTGTGTCTGTGTGTGGATTTGTGCACATGACTACAGGGGTTCATGGATACTGGAAGAGGGCACCAGATCCCCGGGGAGCTGGAGTTATAGTGACATAGTGCTGGGAACTGAATTTGGTTATTCTTTAAAAGCAGTGTGAATTCGTTTTTAAGAATGTTTGTTTCTCCAGGCTCAGAGTTATCCTAGTTATTCTAGATAATCCTAGTTATTTTTTGAACTTACCTAACTGTAATATCTCACTTTCAACCAGCTTCTTTGAAAGGGGGAGAGGGTGGGTTCAGTTCTCTCCTCCTATGAGGTCAGCATTTTTAGAATGAAATCATGGTGTACTTGTCTGGCTGGTTTATTTCACTTAATACAATATCCACTAAGTCCACCTCTATTTTTGCAAATGATAGAATTTTGCTCTTTATTGCCAAGTAGGATGCTCTGTGTTCTATTCAGCCACCGTTTCTTTATTCGGTCTGTTAGTGGGACACTAGTTTGGTCCTCCATCTTGGCTACTGTCAGCCGTTGCTGTAATGACGCCGGTGGCACAGATGTCTCTTCAGCATATTGATTTCATTTCCTTTGGATAGATACCCAGCAATAAGATTACTGGGTCATGTGGTACATCTAATTTTAGTATTTTGAGGAGCCTACATGTGGTTTTCCATAATCACTGTATAAATTTACATTTTCATTAGTGTATAAAGGATCTCTTTCCTCCACATGAGTCTTCTCTCTCTCTCTCTCTCTCTCTCTCTCTCTCTCTCTCGCTCTCGCTCTCGCTCTCTCGCTCTCATTTTTTTTTTTTAATCTGAGATATGGTCTCATATAGTCCAAGCTAGTCTTGACTTCACTATGTAGCCAGGACTGGCCTTGAATGTCGGATCTTCTTGTGTTCAACTTCCAAAGTGCTACTAATAATGGTATATGCCACGAATCCAGGCTTTTCAAGTCAGTTTAGATTTCTGTTTTCTTCATTCTCTACCTCTAATCCATCTAATCCTAATGATTTAATGTATCCTACATTTGTCCACTTTTCACCAAGTCAGAGATGACTTCCCTCATCCAAGCCTTTTACTGACATTTCCATAGTGACTTTGATTCAATAGTTCTGAGGTAGTTCTGACATGTGCCCAGAGCATTCCTGCGCATCTGAGATTCTTCTTCGAGAGTTACAGTTTTGGAGGATACATTACAATCACTTGGGAGCTTTAAAACCCACTTTGCCTGCTCCTTGCCCTGGAGACTGGAATTCACTCAGTGTAGGGGTAAGAGGTGGGCATTTGTAGTTTAAGTCTCTTTTGGTGAGTCAAATGTGCGTCCGACTTGAGAAACACTGTCAGGGGTTGGAAGGAAGCTCAAGTTTCTCTGGTTCTTGGGGGATTTGTACACACTGCTCTTCCTTTGTAGAAGCTCTTCCTGTAGGTCTTTCCATGGCTGGACTTTTTACTCAGGACTCAGATCAGATGTCACTTCTGTTAGACTTTGGCTTGCAACTTAGAACAGACAACACCAGACCAAATGGTTCCAAAGGGGAGGGGGTTTATTCAGGGCAGAGGGCAAAGGTGGGGAGAGAAACGGGAGAAGATGGTGGAGAAAGAGGAGAGAGAGAGGGGAGAAGTGGAGGCCGGCCATGACCATGTGGAGAGAGGGGTAACGGAAAGGGGAGGGACGAGGGGACAGAGAGAAGCTAGAGGCAAGAGGGTACAGAGAGGAGGAGGCAAGCAGCCCCTTTTATAGTGGTCAGGCCTGCCAGGCTGTTGCCAGGTAACTGTGGGGAGGAGTATACCTGGATGTTGCCAGATAACTGTGGAGGTGGAGTTTAGACAGAATACTAACAACTTCCTCAGGTAGTTCTTCCTTGATGACCCCAATATAAACACTCCTATGTTCACCACAGTGCTTTACTTATTTTCATTAGTGATGAGCAATTTTTTTTTTTTTTGTTTTTTCGAGACAGGGTTTCTCTGTAGTCCTGGCTGTCCTGGAACTCACTCTGTAGACCAGGCTGGCCTCGAACTCAGAAATCCGCCTGCCTCTGCCTCCCAAGTGCTGGTATTAAAGGCGTGCGCCACCACCGCCCGGCACATCTCTGTTTGTTGTCTGTATCTTCCACGGACAATGTGAGTGTCTTGAGCTCTGGCAGCATTTTAATCACATGGCTCTATCCTTGGCACTTCAAAGAAGTGCATGGCACACAGAAGTGTTTGTTATATGTGAATGAACGAGAAGGTTAAAACTTTGCATTCTTCCTGATTTCTTTTGAGCTAGATCTATTCTAATGTGTTCCTTTCAACCAGATTGTAATCAAATGTGCTCTGTTACGCAAGTGAATTGGATCATCCACTAAAAATGAATAAGTTGATTTCTAAATTTACTGCATTGAGCTCAACTCTCTCCACAGGAACTGTATATGAAATCTTGTGCAGAGCAAGTAATGCCTTGATGTATTTTTATATGCAGCATTTATTCGAAATGCTGCTCCGTAGTTGGAAAGCAGTTTACAGAGTAGGGCATCTGGGAATGGCTAGCACAGAGTCGAAGAGGAAGGCGAAAGCCTTTAATTCTCAGGGAGGAAAGCGCTCATCATCCCCCCCCCCTTTTTATTGGAGCACCTCTTACATTAGCAGATGTGGCAGAACTGGGGAGTTTTAATTTCAAATAGAAAAAAGGACTTGAGTTAAATACCTAGTTTTTCAGAAGTTAGTTCAAGCAAATGTGGCAAAACCTTCAGCTGTTGGTCATTTGTTGTTTGAATTAAAAGAAACAACTGAATAAAACTTGCTAAACAGGTAGGTGAATTAAGGGCACGGATGTCTCTAAATCACTCACCAGTTACTTCTGAAGTATATTTTCTGTGAAAACATAACACAACATCTGTTGCTGGGGGAGGGGGAAAGGCTTTCCAGATTCTGACGTCTTTCAGTCAGGGGACTTATTTCCTCACAAGTATCTAACCTCCGCCAGCGGCAATAGGTAGGGTTCAAGTACAACCTGTTTTTCAGGCAACGGCTGTCACTCTTTCCCTCTTGCTCACTAAAAACCAATTCTGTATTTGAATTAACGGCTGAAATGTAACTGGCATCTCGGCATAGTCTAGTAAGGGAGAGAGTCCAACGCACAGACTTGGAGGAGAAGAGTCAGCAGTCTATAAATCGGAGGTGGAGGTGGCTCCTCAAGAACACCAAAGACACTGGGGACGAGAAAAGAGCGTGGAGAAGCCCTGAGCAGCGTTGACTCCTGGGAGTAGTAGTTCGTTGTTGGACGGAGACCTACAGCTTACGCAGAAATTTGAACTACATTTCCCAGTAGGCTTCGCGCAAGCGGCTGAGTCGCTGCGGAATGGGTGCTTGGTGATGAGCTACCGCGGGGGAGGGGGCGGAGAGCGGCGGAGCAGCTGCGGCGGCCTTGGGGAGTGGTTGACATCTGGCGTCTCCGAGGGCCGAGGGGACCTCGCGTGAGTCACAGCCGCCAGGGCCTGGCGTTCGCCGCGCCACTTCCAGCTCACGTTTTCCCTCTCGACGTCCGCCATGGCAGCTCGTCCGTCCGTCGCCGGCCTCTCTGCTCGCCGTGGCTCCGGCTCCCCGGAGCGATGAGGCGGTAGTGGCGCCCCGAGGCCCGCTCCTCCAGAGACTCGGTCGCCCCGGCCGGGGGCAGGTCTGCGGGCCGGTCCCTCCGCAGCCCGCCTCCGCACCGCCCAGTCCCGCCCCCTGGGCGCGCTGCCCTCGGGCTCCCGCGGCCCATGCCGCCCGGCCGCTCTGCCGCCCGCTGCTGAGCCCGCGCCCACCCCCCACCTCTCAAGATGTGGCACAACGTGGGGCTGACCCTGCTGGTGTTCGTGGCCACGCTGCTGATCGTCCTGTTGCTGATGGTGTGCGGTGAGTGGGGGCAACGGCGTGGGTGGTCGGGAAAGCTCGCGGGGACAACTCTCCACGGTGGTCCCCTCGGTGGTCACGGTGTCCTCGGTGGTCACCTGGCCTCCCAAGATCGAGTTCAGATCCTGCTCAGGGCGAGTCGCCCGGGCATCACGGAGGAAAGCTCAGCGAACCTTCAGGGCTGGCATCCTGACTCGAGGTAGAAGCACGTTTCTGCTTCCCTGGCAGGTCTGTCCTTGGTTGCCATAATGCCACAGTCTACCCAGATCTTTCACTGTGGCCTGTATTCGAAGGAGAAGTGATCGGTTTCATCGTTTTATTTGGATGTTCTGAATCTAGTGAGAGGTTTCATTACCTTTTGGGTTTCCAGCGCACGTGAAGTCATTTGTTTACTTCAAGTTCGGGCTTTAACCAAATTCCGGAGCCTAAGTGATGATGGGCAGAGCCTTAAAAACCATGGCTGTAATAAACTTACAGGGTCAGGTAACCTAATCCTCGTTCTGCTGTAATGGGGCTGTTTGGTTTGCTGTGTTTCCCTTCTCAGAATGAGGGGACGTTAAACTGTTCTCCAGGAGTGTTTTCGATCCCTCTTAATTCGTTATATACATAGCTGATAACCACAGGTCTCAGCAAGGAGGCCGAACAGTTGTGAGAATTTGGAAAGTATTTCAAATAAATGCCAGTGAACATTGGTATTCATAAGACCGAAGTATGGGTTTGAAGTGATGGAGTATTGGGTTAAAATGTTATAAATACCGTAGAACTTATTATTACGTAGTGTTCTCAATCCAGTGGCTGTACTTTTGAAAAGATATGCACATACATATTTAAATACCTATACGTGTATTTAATTTTTGTCAGTAATGCAGATTGAACCAAGGGCCTCACTTATGCTAAGCACATGTTGAACTACTGAGCTAGTTCCCAACTCTAAAAGTTTTGACTAATTCTAGTGACTCTAGATCTAAAGAATCCTTTCTTAAACAGGGTCTCACTATGTAGCCTTGGCTGGCCAGGAGTTTACCATGTAGACCTAGCTGGTCTTAAACTCGTAGAGGTCCAACTGCCTCAGCCTCCCAAGGGCTAGGATTAAAGATGCCCAGTTTTTCTTTTTTTTTTTCTTTTCTCATGACATAAAAAAAATAATACCTCCCAATTTTGTAATGTGTGAACAAGGTGATTTAATTAATTATTGTTTAAGGTTTTTTTTTTTGTTGTTTGTTTGAGATGGGAGCCCCAGTAGACAAGTCAGGATTGACCTTGCTACGTGGGGGAGGATGATCTTGAGCCGGTCCACAGAATGCTACACCGAGTGTATTCAGTGCTAGGACGGAGCTGCAAGCTTCTGGCAGCCTAGGCAACCTGTGCCCCAGCTCAAGGTTCCTGAAATAAGAGTAAAGGCATCCTTGAGTGTCAGTTGGGTGAATGGAAGGATGAAGGCGTGTGTCGCCCTTTCTACTTGGAATGGGAACGTGACATACAAGCCATACTACGTCTTGGACAGAACACTTGTCAAACTTGCTCTGAGAAAGTTTAATTCCCGATTTGCTTTCTTACCTCTCACTGGCCACCTGGTTGCTTTGTTTTGCTGGTTTTTCTAAGCATGCCATTAGTTTCAGGAAACGTACTGAGCGAGAGGTAAGGTCTGATACTTTAAAACTAATAGCTTTATCACGTAGTCCAAATGCTGTTCCTTGTTGGGAAACTAATGACAGGGTAGGGCAGCCTTTCCTTCTGACTAAAGGGTGGTTGCAGGTTGAAGAGAAGGGGGAAGGGGCAGACCTGACTTGGGAACTGGGGTGCTGTATTCTGTTTGCTGGGGCTATTACATTGCAGAATACCACAGACTGCCTCACTCCCCCCTCAGCCATTTACTCTCACAGTGCTGGAGGTGTGAAGGGCTCCAAGGCATCTCTCCTTGTAATGTAGATGGCCATCATCTCCTGGTACTTTCATAGGGTCTTCCCACTGTGTGTACCTGATAGCAGTCACGGGGTCAGGGCCCTGGCCCTTGTGACCTTACTTTGCTGACAGTCACATTGGGAAGTAGGACATGTAACTCACACTGGAAGGCAGGATGTAGTTGAGTGGTTTAGGCATATGCTCTTAAATAATTCTTACCTTTCTTGTGGTCACTGACTCTTTTGAGAACCTAGTTAAGGCATTGGAAATTTTCAAGAAAAAAAATGTCTAAACACATTTTTCTTTCTTTTTGGTTTTTCGAGACAGGGTTTCTCTGTGTAGCCCTGGCTGTCCTGGAACTCACTCTGTAGACCAGGCTGGCCTTGAACTCAGAAATCCGCCTGCCTCTGCCTCCCAAGTGCTGGGATTAAAGGCGTGTGACATCACTGCCCGACACATTTTTCTTTCTTATCAGCACTTTTTTTTTGTCTTATTTAGCAGATTTTGTTAAAGCAACACAGAGAGAGTTCAGCTCAGCGGTCTCTTCGTGTCGGGCTGGGTCTCCTGTTTTCTGATCTCATGCAGTTCTGCCCGCTTTCTGTTTAGTGCCCACTGGACACTGGATCGTAATCTGTCACCACGTTGGCCCCAAGGAATCAAAATTGAGTTTGCTGGAGAACGCTGACAGCTATTTCACACAATGAATTCTAAATTTCAAACTTCCTAGGGTGGTTTCCCTTCTGTATATATTGGCTTCTTCTTTTTCATTTTTTTTAAAAATTTCATTTTGAAGTGTTTTCTGCCTGTGATATTCGCTGAATCTGCCTTTTGTTGTAGTGGGTCATTGTTGGTATAGGTCCAACTCAGTGGCGTCACATTGTTGCCGAGGCAACCAGGGTGACACGCCTACAGGAACTACGTCATCATCCTCATCTGTATAAATAGGCGGAGCTTCCCGACCTCGCTCTCTTTCCTCTCCGCCATCTTCTGTCTCTTTCTCTCTCTCACCTTCCATCTTTAATATCCCCACTCCCGTGGAACCGGTCTCATTGGTCCTTACAGTCAGTCACGAGTGGCTTCCGTCTTGCTGAGTGAGTGATCACTCACTTGTTAGTCCTTTCTAATTGAGGTTTCTGCCCGAGAAGCACTTTGGGCTTTCAGATACCGTGGTGTTTTCCTTCCACAGTGGCTGACAACCATTTTCACCCCCACGCCGCCACCCACAAGACAAGGTCTCATTGTGTAGCCCGTGCTGCCCTGGAACTCTCACTCTGTAGACCAGGCTGGATCTCAAACTCACAGAGATCCACTGGCCTCTGCCTTCCAAGTGCTGGGATTAAAGGAGTGTGCCACCACCCCAGCTATCCAGGTCATTTTAATAAAATATTTTGTTCAGCTTTTTAACCAAAGAAACCATTTTAAAAGCCATAGTTTCTTTGACTTGTGTTTTATTTTTACCCTAGACTTATTTACTTGTGTGTGTCTTGATACCTTTCATTGCTGCAACTGATTCTGTAATTGTAACACTCAGTTAGCTGGGGGCGGTAACCCAGGTTCTTGTATACTCCAGGCAAGTGACCTAACTGTGAGCTGCATCCCTAAGCCCCTAGTATTGCCTTCCCCATGCGTACCTCCAGAATCTACAGTCACGAGAAATAGTTCCCGTATGTTCAGTCTGTTGCTTGTTCCCGCGCCTTCCCAAAGCCCTGTTTCCCGTGGGTTCTCACACACTAAGCTATGCTTTCTCTGCCGGCCTGTCCGAGTTCTCTCCTCATTGTCTTTCTCAAACATTCTCCCTTTGTAGCCGAGAACTTTCTAAGAAAAGGTACGTGGAAAACAGTGTTTTGAGCTACAAGCTTGATTTTCAGCCCTGATATTTGATCAATATACTGAGTAGATCTGAGATTGCAAATTGCTTTTAGATAGAGGTTTTAAATTATTGCTTGTTTTGCTTTTTGTTTTTGTTTTTTTTTTTCAGCTTGTAGGCCTCTCCATTTCTCTTTCTGCTCAGGTGACTTGGTTTCCCTCTTGGCTCAGTTTCTCGCTCCAGATGCCTCTCATAGCCTCATCACTGGTGGACTGAAATGTCAGGGCATGCCTTGCTTTCATTTTGGCTTCAGTAATTTTTTTTTCTGGACACACGCAACTGAGATCTCCCCCCTTCATTTCTGGAGTATTTTTTTCCAGATAAGTGATCATTTCCTCCTTCCCTACTCCCTTTTGAAATAAGCACTTTTATTTTTTATTTTTTCTTCACTACTGGGCGTTGAGCCCAGGCTTTTACCCTGGACTCTTTTCTTGGACATCTAGAGAAAGTTTTGCTCTAGATGTCTTTGATATGTTCATATTTAAAGGCAAGGTAATTAAAACAAAACAGTAGGTTCTTACCTGGCTGTGTAGAGGTGCACGCTGTTAATCCCAGCACTGCAGAGGCAGAGGCAGGTGGATCTCTGAGTTCGAGGCCAGCCTGGTCTACAAAGTGAGTTCTAGGACAGACAGGACTATACAGAGAGAGACCTTGTCTCAAGCAAACAAACAACCCAAGAAAGCAACAAGAAACACCTGTGTGTTCTCTGTTAGCTGTAGGCTTACCCATGCACAGTGATTTGATAACTTAGTGTCTATTTGACACACACCCTCTGTTGTTAATGTAGAGATCTGTTCTTTGAGAGTATCAGCATTTGTGTGGCTTTTTTCCCCCCAGGGAGGAATTCTCTTAGTTCCTACTTGGATATTATAAATTTACCTGCCTGTGTGAATAGACTTTAGCCAGTTGCTTTTTCTTCTCTCCACATTTTTCTGTGGTTCTTGAATGTATTTTGTGTCTAACTAGTATTTCTCTCTCGGCTATTAAATTTATAGTGAGATTAAACCAGTATTGAGTGTGGAGATTCTCTGAAATAGAAAGGCTTAATGAGCTTTTAGAGAATCTATCCTGAAAAAAACAAGTCCACAGATCCATGGCAGTTGGATCTGAGAGCCAAGACCAGTTTCATAACAGCAGCTCTGTTAAACTGGTCAGAGCCATAAGGTTGGGATCACAAAGAGCCTAACTTTTGGACTAGGAGGGTAGTCCTTAAGAAATGTCCTGGGTTGTCTGA